TATTCATGAAATAGTAGTTAAATAAAATTTTGAATGCGAGTCAACAAACACAATGGCATGGTCTGTCACCCGTGACCCATCTGGAAAGGTTTAAGAAGAAAGCTGGTCACAAAATTATCTAATGACATATGGTAAAGATGCTTGACAAGAACAATAAAAAAAAGTGGGGAAAATTAGTTATGTAAGCTGCTTATTAGTAATATTTAACAGAATTTTTCCTTCCTTGCTTAACATCAAAGTACCTTGCACAATCAATAAACAGAGATATAAAACCTATTGTAATAGTCATTATTAATATTAGAATAATCCTACAGTATTGTAGTATTTCAGAAACCTACACAGTGGCATAGCTACAAAGTTTTGGCCCCCTTCAACAAATACAGACTTATATAACCAATAAACAAATGTAAAACACATTGTGATGATCATTATTAGCACAAGTATACTCCTTACAAAAAAATATTTCAGCAATTTATACAGTACAACAGCTACAAAGTTTTGGGACCCTCCAAGAAATATACACACATCAGGATTAAAGTAATTATTAATACTTACTAAGTTATTCTAGCTGAAGATACTTTTATGAGCTTTGAGCTGTTCAAAAATCTATCACAGTATACACTTTATTTATTTTTTTTAAGTATGGTTTCAATATACAAAAACAAATTCTTTCAGTATTTTTTTAGCTTAATAAATTCTTCATCCCATTTGTTAATTTTCAATTTGAAAATAGATTTCTTCAAACATTTGACAATCACTACCAGTGTTAGAATTAAACACAAAGCAGTATTTCAGCAATCAATTCTTAATAAATGTGCAAGATCCCTAATCAAAGTTGTATTTCAAATATCTTCAGGTAAAGCTTGTGCAAGAGAGTCAGATGCATGGAGGAGGATGGTGACAGATCACTTGAGTGAAGAAATAGTGAAGTTTGTAGAAGTACTTTGAATCCAATACTCAAGTGATCCAAGGAAATATTAATGCTTGTAGAAGGACCTAGGAATCAAGACTCAAGTGATCCAAAGAAGTATTGAAGGTTTTAGAAGTATTTTGAAACCGATATTTAAATGATCCAAAGAAATAGATGTAGAAGTATCTTGGGACCAATTGACCACTTGAGTATTTGTTTCAAGGTACTTCTACAAACTTCACTATTTCTTCAGACCACTTGAGTATTTGTTTCAAGGTACTTCTACAAACTTCACTGTTTCGTCATTGCTAACTATTCGTAACCTCTCTTGTTCAAGAACAGCAAATTTTTTGTGCAGCCAAATTCAGTCTTAAAAATCATGAGTCTAAACTATGCTACTATGGTGAAGTACATGATCTAAGATTGGCAGTTGTAAAGACATTGGCCCATTAAGCTGACTAAAGTCAAAGAAGTTAACCACACTTTGGATTTCTTTCATTTCCAATTAATACAAATTTAATAGTATTGATTTCAGTTTCACGTGCAATGTTTTCAATCACCAAAATTCATGCTGTTATTTAGAAATATGTTTATATGTACATATAAAACAAGCAGACTTGGAAATCTCCTGAATATGCTGAAGTTATATAAACAATATGTATATAATATGTACAAAAAAAAATATTTTCATTAAACCTTAGTGGTTTTCTTGTGGGCTTATATGTACAAAGAGAGACCTTTACAGATTACAACTTTTTTGATCTGCTGAACATGAAAATTTATGATACATTAACCATCCAACTCTTACTACACCTTTAAGACTCACTTGGTAAAATCTGCTGCTCCCTTTAAACAAATCTATAATCTAAATTACTACCTTATTTGTCAACTGTGTTCTTAGCCAGCCTCTCATGATGGATATTTCATTGGTTCACTGTAGTCTTAGCAGTTCCCTCATGACAACTATTTTATTGCTATACTGTATTCTTAGCAGTTCCCTCATGACAAATATTTTATTGCTATACTGTATTCTTAGCAGTTCTCTCATGACAAGTATTTTATTGCTATACTGTATTCTTAGCAGTTCCCTCATGACAAATATTTTATTGCTATACTGTATTCTTAGCAGTTCCCTCATGACAAATATTGTATTGCTATACTGTATTCTTAGCAGCACACTCTTGATGGATATTTTATTGATTGGCTGTATTCTTAAATTTACTTTTTTTTAGCAAAAAAATATATGTCAGCTTAAGCTAGGCAATTATGCCATCAGGATCATATAAAAAGTAAACTGCTGTGAATTACATAGGAAATTCATGATGTTCTAGTTTTTAGAACAGACAGAATTTACATATGAACTTGGTAGATGCTATTCTAGCTATGTGTATACAAGTCCTTTGAAAATATCATAAAATTAAAGTTTCAGAGGATTATATATTTATCATCAAATAGTTTCTAATAAGAACTTTTTAGTGATGAAATCTCTTTCTTCCTCCAACTCCTACAAGAAATCTGAGCTCGTAATCCTACTACTAACAAAAAAACTTCGTAACTGAGTAGGAAGAAAGGATGCCAATCAGTAAATAAATAATTAAAGGTATGCAATGAAAACGTTAACATTTTTAAAACAACTCAAAAATTCAAGCATTTTCTCAACTTATGCTGTTGAATTACATTATCCACAAGCTGCTCGCATGCATGCCTCATGAAACATTTGTATTATATTATTATTATTTATTTTACCTAACCTAACCTTAACAAACCTAAAGAGATCCCTATTTTTACATTTTATTTACTTTTATAATAATAAATAAAGAATAAACATTAAAAACAACAAATAAAGTACTTACCTGGGTCTTCTATTTTTTTGCTGTCAATGACACTTAACCATACTTTTTTATATTGATGGTAGTAATGTACTAAATAACTTTAATTAAATAATGCACCAAAGAACTTTTATTTAATTAAATAATGCACCAAAGAACATAGAATAACAACATGCAAAAAGCAGATAATTTCCCCTAACTATTACAATTTTTCTGGCTTTCTCATTATGTGACAAGAGCCATTACAAATTCATCTTCAAGCTAGTTATGTTTCCCATGAGAACAAAACTTGTACTCACAGAGAAAATGAAAATTCTCCATTCAGAAAACAATGTAATATAATAAGTCATTTAATAGATGAAAACCTTGGCTTTTTTTTTGTTATAAGTAATATAGTATTGAAAGTCAGAGAGAACTATTGACAAATTCTGAAAAATGAGAAATGACAGGCAAGTGTGGCAAGAGGGGTCTGATTTTCTACTTGATGGCTCTGTAACCAAACATGGCTTGGCTCAGCAATGACGATTTTATAGTGAGTAATTTTGTACTTATTGGAGGGGTAATAAATAAAATAGAGAAGAGGAGATACCTAGAAAAAAATGTCACATTTCTCATACTAGGGGAAATTCAGGATTTTTTTAAATATTGCCTTATAAAATTAAGAACTTGAAACTTGTATACTATTAAAATATGGATTATTAGCTACAATTTTATGCTATACTAATTGGTATAACATAAACAAAACATAGTTTAATAAAATTTTTAATGTAAGTGGCATGCACAGTAAATGATGCTTGGGAAAAGAGGGTTAAAAGACAATGCAATTTTACATAAACATTTGGTGATTTACAATGCCTTCTTCTTCAAAATGGCAAAACACTCATAAATTATCTTACCAATGACAAAGATGACCAAGCTCCATCGAAAAACTCTTGTGACTGACTGCGTGATGGCTGAACTGGGGTATTACCAAAACCAGTATATTTCCCTCCCTGACTGGGTGGAAGGTTGCTGAAAAAAAACATACATGCAATTAAATGCAGTTAAAAGATAAGCATTAAACAGAATTTTATTCAAGAAAATGATTTTGAAAAATTTATTAGTTAAAATATAGTTACAAATCTGCATACTATAGTCCTCCTATAGTGTAATTTCATACTTAAAACATATAAAGAAAATTATGTTTTGATTAAGACATACTAAATCCAGTAGAGGTTGCGTTCAGCCTCAACTGTTACTCTCTGTAACAGCTTCATCAATGAACTTTTCTATATCTTGGAATAGTTGTATTGTATCCTGCTTTCCATTATATATAAAGCACAGCCTTATGACTTTTGCATGAAGCAAAGAAACTTTGAGATTCTTATGATCCAGTTTTCTGATTGGTCAGTTACAGAGAAAAAGCAAAAGAGCTAATGTAATTTGGTCTGATCTCCTTCAATTCTTGTCTATTCCCTGCTGCTAATCATTTGTGCTTTAACCACTATAAGTTATTCATCAGTAAAAGTTTTTATTTCCTTCATTTAAAAACACTTTTAATTTGATTTACTTTTGCTATCTTTATCCCACATTACAATACAATTGTCCAATAAGCCCCTCTTCAGTTTATTTTCACCAGTAATAAATCATTTTATTTCTATTCCAGACTTAAACACAACATCTTGTCTCTTTCTTCCCATTATTAAAAATCAATACACCTGTCATTCTACATACTAGGTCCTCAAATCTCTAGTTCTTACAGAGATTAGATAACTGTGTGCTAGTTTGATCCTTGAATTACCACAACTTACCTAGACCAAATAAATGTTATTTTGGTACTGTCAAACAGGATCTAGAAATTGTGGAAGTGATAGCTGATTTATCTGATCACCTTCTCCAAGATACCTTTTTTTTTTCTTGTACTCTTAATAAGAAAATATGCAAGAATTTTACCAGAGACAAGGCAAGTCGGGATGATGTAGGGTAAGAACAAGCACACACTTTGTCATGCATTTCAGAGCTTCACACAGAAGCCACAATTAGCAAAAAAAAAACTTCAATAAACTGCATAAAGTGTCCAAAACTTAGAAATAAAAGAGATATAAAGACAAGATAATCACAGTCTGGAATGTCACAATAAAGATTTACATTCACACTTGAAAAGCTCTGCAATGACCCACAAATTCCAGAGATGAGAGCATGGATGAGATTGTGTAGATAAACTTAGTATTGCACAATAACCCTAACTAGAGCAAAAATAACCAATTGAGACATTATATCAGTGTGGGGATGAACAGGACAACATCAGTGCCACAAAATTATCCATTTAGTCTTGAAAACCTTCAGCAAATAGAACTTGTAAGAAGGCAAAATGGCCAACTACTTGATAGAACAGCCCTGACTAGCAAGCTGAGATCCACATATCACAGTATTTTGAGGTCAAATTTGAAAGCATCTTAGTGTAAAATGAAGTTGTATGGTTGAAACAGATGATGGAATGTTGGAATAATCAGAGATTTCTCCAGAAACAGTTGTAACATAAAAAAGGACATTATGACTAATCAAGCCAATATGGTGTTATAAGAAAATCTACTTGATCTTAAAAACATCTCAGTAGACTGAGGTATAACCACAACCCAAGTCTGAATGCAAACCAAAAGACCATTTTTAGTACCAAGGACTTAAATGCACAGAACTCTCTATAATGGCCCATAACCAGGTATACAAAGTGGGCTCTACAGAAAACATAGTTCATAATCAGGTCCACAAAATGTATTCCACATGGGACATGAAGACAAATGCAAAAAATCCTCATAACATTGCCAATATGGTCTAGGAAACTCCCTGCAACTCTGTTATATTTGGATAGGTGCATCTGTCTTTGAGGGCAAAATTGCATCACTGAATTAAAAAAATTATAGAAAATTAAAAAACTATTAACATTTTTTCAATAAAGAAATTTCATTTACTCCACTTATACATAAAAATAAAATATTGAAGTTTTAATTTTGGATTGATTTCAGTATGCTCCAAATGAAAACATTGCTGGTTGAGAATTTCCTGAATTTTTTCATGGATGAAAGACAAAATAGTTTTTAACAAATCAGTGCTAATTTGAACCTTGTAACTTCCATACAAATGTAGTTTTGTCAATTCTACTCAATCAGTTTCCCAACCTCGGTTATCATGGTATGATGCAATTATTATCTATATCTCAGCTTTGAGAAGCCACAAGCTAGTAAATTAAACATATTCAAAACTCTTTTTCTGTCCTTTTAAACATTATAAACTAATATGGCATCCAGTTCATCATAGATTCACACAAAGATTGAAACCAAATGATAAAAGCTTAGCTTGATTACATGCTGCTAGAAGAAGGTATTTATGAACAGCCTTCCCCACAATTACAGTCCTGATTTTTTTTTTTACAGCTTGCATTACCATTTTAAACTTCATTTTGCAGTATGACAGGTAAGCTGTTTCTTGTGGAATAGGATGAGGTAAGCTTTGGGGACTCATGTGGAATATTCTTTTGCTCATTTTCGTTTCTTGCCATCTTCCACCTTTATTCTCGGTCGGGTTTGGATGATCCCGTACATGCCCTGGGTTGCTTCATTGCTTTCAAGGTTTCTTTCCATTGACTCCATTTCCCACTGTTTCATTCCGTTGCACCACTCCTCTGTTAGTTTTTTTTTCCCTTCCTCCCATACCAATAGGTTTGGCTTGTGATTTGATTGACCTTTTATTCCTTTTCTCCTTCTTCCCATAATCAATTCCTGATGTCTTCATTCTGATCAGGCATCTTACCTTTTACTTTCATCTCCACCTCGTTGCCCGTTGGAGGTACTTCATCTGTCAAACACCTCATATGTCCACACAAACAAAATTAATATGTAGAAGTATGAAAGATAAATAACAGTGAAAGTGATATATTGTAAAATTAAATAAGTGTGTATTGACAATAACATGTATGAGATGTGATGTTTTGAAGAAAAACTATATAGTTAACCTAATTTACAATATACCAGTAAGTTGAATTACAGGTAATCCTATAATAACAAAGACTCATGTTAAGCCTAATCTAATGTTATAGGGCAAAGGATACAACTAAGTTCTAATTTCAAACCCAAACTTGACTATGAGTATTGACCAATCTAACTAATGTTAATGAACCCAAATAACTACATATAATAATATTAGCAGTTAAAATATTCAAAAACCCTAACAGTATAACGTCTTATCTTTACAAAAGTCGGCAGACTGTATTTCAAAATGGGTGAACCCCCAACCTTGAGTCAAGGGCCCAACAAAGGGCAAATCACTGGACGATCAATCTCCTGATAAAGTAAAGCTGATATTTCCCTAGTCAAGGACCACTGCCTGAAGCCTGTGTAAATGTGCTGATAGAAGGTAGAACCTCTGAAGTGGTAACGTACAATTCAGAATTCAAACTGAATAACCAAATGCAACTTTGTTGGCAGAAAGAAATAAAAAGTAGAAAAACATTTTTAATGAAGCATTCAGTTCGGTTACTGAGTAGAAATATAAAATAATTCCACTTCGGAATAAGTTACAAATATAAAACTAGTATATAAAAAATATAAAATACTTAAGAGAAATTGATACAAGATACAAAACTAAACATCTGATAATGAGCACTGCCAAACAATAAGTGATAGTTGGATAGAGTAGCAGTGAGGGAGTCACATGGGTGTGTGGCACTACTATTAGTGGATGTTTGCTGCATCATAATTTGCATACAAAAATCAGTTAAACCATGTGAAATGAGGGGTGTGTGGGAGTGAAAGGCTTGTGGCATATGAAAACATTTTTGCAAATAGAGGACATATAGCCTTAGCTCTCCACCCCCAAGAGTGAAATACAAAATCACAAAATAATACAACATGAAATCAGTTATCTTGCCTAATATAAAAATCCATCTTGTCTAGACTGAAATAATGGTTATATCAAAATAGTATCTTTAATCACAAAGCAAAATGTCATCTGTTCAATTCAGCTTCCCATTAGCTAATCACAGCTGACCAGTAGTAAGCTTCATTTCACCAACTTCACTTTAACAATATATTTTCTTTTATGAATTTTGTTAATTAAAGTACTTTTAAAACACACAAGGTTTTAAAAGGAAGATATTTAGTTTTGAAAATTTTGAAGATGACTGCTTTTGTTTCTTTATAAGACAGGGCACAGTTCCCTATAGCCGAAATTAAAACAGTTAAATGTCTTTTTCTTTTGTTTTTCAAGTGAGAATTTTTAAACAAAAAATACTGTTCACAGAATTGTATCTAATGTATTACTTTTCAAAACAGAATACTGTACGACTGATCATTTAATGAAAGCTCAAAAACAGTATTTTTAACTCCAGAATGAACATTTCGTGTAAGATCTTCCCATCTCTCCCCAGTTGCCTTACAAGTAAGTGACAAAAATGATAAAATCAACTAAATATAGAAAACAAATAAAATTTTAAAAAATATATAGTGTGACATTAAAAAAATAAAACAAATATACTCAGGTCTAGATGAATTTTCTTCCTGATTTCTTGCAAAGAAAGAATCTCTTTGGTTAGAAATGTATGAGTCAGTATAGCTCGATCTGCAATGAGAAAATTTATTTCGTATTAACAAGCATGTGTAACTATGGGAGGAGGGGTAGTGTTATTAGTTGCTGGAACACAATTATGAAAAAAGAATGATGCATCAGTCACTCAAACAATATCTGGAATAAAGAAATATTTGTTTGGGGAATATTCAAATGAACATCCATGCGGTTTTGTCTAAAATATTAAAAGAATATCATGGTTATTATTTCAATTTAGCCACACCTGGTAAATTCATATCTTTACCCTGTTTAACCCTACTGCCACAGATACCTTTACTGCACATGACTCAAGGTTTTAGTGTCTTACATTCAAAATTTTATTATACTACTTTTTGTTTATGCTATACCAATTAGAATAGCATAAAATCTTGGCTAATAATCCATATTTTAATAGTATATAAGTTTTCAGTTCTTAATTCTACAAGGGAATATTTTTAAAAAATCCTGAATTTCCATGTGCGTGACCCACGTAACACATTTTGTCTTAGCATGTCATCATCCCTATTTTATCCATCACCCCTCGAAAATGTACAAAATTAAAAGTAAATTACTCTCTACAAAATCGTTATTGTTCACACAAACCATAATTTTTATAGTCTTCAATTTTGTTTGGTTATAGAGCTATCAAATAGAAAATCAGACCTCCTCCTGCTACACCCACCTGTCACATCCTCTATTTCAGAATTCGTTGATAGTTCTCTCTTATGTTTCATTATATATTACCTATAACCAATAGAAAGTCAAGGTTTTCATCTATCAAATGGCGTATTGTATAACATTGTTTTCTGAACAGGAAAGCGTCAATTTCACTCACAGTACAAGCTTTGTTCCTGTGAAAAAGTTAACAACTAGCTTGGATGAATTTGTAATGGCTCCTATCGCATAGTTAGATAGCCAGGAAAATTTTGAAAGGTAAGGGAATTTGTTTACTTTTTGCATGTTATTAATTTACATTCTTTGGTGCATTATTTAATTAAATAAAAATTACTAAATGCATTACTATTAGTACTATAATAAGTTAGGGTTAACTCTCCTTGAAACCCAATGACAAGAAAAAAGAAGATTAGTTAAGCATTTTATTTCTTGTTTTTCATATTTATTCTTTATTTATTAATATAAAAGTAACTGAAATCGAAAAATATGGATCTTTTTAAGTTACTTAAAACTAGATTAGGTAAAATGAGTAATATAATTTATAATTTTTTATGATGGATAAACGAATGTAGTTTCATGTTACAATTTGAAGTCATTCTAGAAAGAAAAAAAGGTCAATTTAGGTTTATTTCAATTTTTTTTTTTTTTGTGGTTATGAGGTTGGTAGAATTGACAAATCCCATTTTGAGATAGGATGGAGAAAATAACAGATAAACTATAATGTTTTACTAAAAAAAAGCGTTTGAAATGCATTTACGAGGTTTTAGGGATTACACAAAGGTAATTTGAGATTTTTGAGATGAGGAAAAGTATTTTTAATTTTAACATAAAAATTACTTTGCACTTGGACTATTCAAAACAAATGCTCAATATATTCATGGACAAATCTTTATTATATTTTATTAAAAAATACTTCACTAAGAAATATGACTTTCTGTATGTGAAAGTCTTGTAATATTAACTGAAAGACTGCCAAATTTCATGAAGACATACCCACTACATTGAGAGTAATAAGTATTAAATTTATAAAGACTTTAAATGAGTACAAAAAAGGTCACGTGATTGGTCAAATTGACCAAGCCTGTATTGAGAGTGTTAAAGGACACAAGGAGCACTCTTTCTAATGACTATAAATATCAGTTGGGCTAAATATAAAAATTGTTGGCTTAGTAAAAAAAAAGTAAATGACATCACGGCTCAAATTTCACACTTACACATTCTAACTTGAGAGTGGATTTTACATCATAAGTGTTATAATTTTTACTATTTGTAACTTTCTATGAATACATAACTGCATGTTATACAACACTGATTCAAATATAAAACAGCAAAATGATATTAATGAACTCTTTTTAGTAACAAAAAGCCAATTCCTGTCTGATTAAGACTGTTTTGTTCCTTTATTATACAGATTTTCCCCATGATTCCCGTTTGATTATGGTCATGTAAGTAGGCATGTAAGTTCCTCCATTCACCAGAACACTCCTCAACTCATTTTGTTGCTGTGTGCACATTATGTAAACTATGTCATCAGAAAACTTGTATGAACTGGAATTCTTGTACTAGTTTGTTTTTATTAATAATAATAATACACTGACAAATGGAAAAAACATGCCAATTGTGGAAATAAAACTAATGCTGAGCAGGAGTGTATCAGTGACAATAAAAAGAAAAAATATCTGTCACAACATGTTTTGAATCTGTTAACAAGTGGTCAAAATAGCTGAATACTGCCCTTAGCAATAATCTTGATGAAAATGATCCATAAAGAGTGACAGAAATATGGTGTAAGAGATGCCAAGAATATGCAACAGTGGTCATATTCAGTGAGTATTATAATTTTAACTAATTACTGTTTGACCTGGATGACAGTTTGGTATTATGAAATTGATTAAATGAGCTGGTATCATGCAAAATAATAGACAAAAACAAGGATTATTTATCATCAAATTCATTAAAATTTTATATAAGTGTGAATAGGGATGATAAAAAATAATAATTAGCTTCAATCAACAAATCTTTTTAAACTGCCAAACTCTCTAACGTGAAACTGATTAGCGAGTAGCACTTAGGGAACAATAAATTAACTTAAACATGCAGGGAATTGAGGGGGGTATGTATTTTGTCAAGGGCCAAAATGTTTTTTTTTTCTGCAAAGTTGGAAGTGGATTTTTTTTGCAAAATGTAAAAATAATTATTATTTAGGAATAAATCCAGAGTCAAAAATTTTTTCCCATACAAGTCTGGGTCAGATAAACTATTGGTGGGGACCTTGATATAATATTTTTAATTCCAGTTTGTAAATAGAAATAACTGTGAAGAAAGAAACAGTACCAACTTGTACCTTAATTATAATATATTTTTATTGTCAGGCACCAGTATCCTATGGACCTCATAAAAAGTAGTTTTTATAGGCACTTGACTTTTTTTTGCAAGTGAACTTAAAAGCAAAATTCAAGCCCTGAAGGTACCACAAAAAACAGTCAATACCATTTAAAAAGCACAACTACAAACTTTTAAATTATTAACAAAGCATTTCCTTAAAAAATACTATTTTAACTTCCTCCACTTGTTACGGACTGTGCAAAGTGAGTTAAGGGGGATGATGGTAGGAATGACATTAATAATATTCTGAGCCCTATGACAGAGTCTTTAAACATTATAGAAACAATAAAAAATAAGAGAAGTTAACATAGGTTAGCTTAATTTATAACATTTTTGCAGGCCTTCTCAGAATCCTGTTTGAAAAGTTCTAAATATGGTAGTTATCTATACAAAGAAAAATAAGCTAATTTATTATTGTTAGTTTTCATTAAATATAATTTAGACATCTAGTGACAGATTAAGCTTAGTTGCTTAAAATTAAAAAATAATTTGTCTGAGGATAGATGTATGAGCATGAAACTGCATCATTCTTTTCAGAAATTGGCAGGGTTGTTTACACAACCTTCTGAGCAGAAAAAGCATGTGAACCCATCATGAAGTTATTAATCATTAAGAACAAGGCCTAAGGCCCAACTTCCAATTTCATAGAAAACTATTGCATGATTTTATTTTACTTTATTTTATAACTAATGAAACATCAAAGAACAATACCTTTGATTAACAATTAACTTATTAAAGTCATTGCTGTTAGCTATGATCAAAAAAGTGCAAAGGCTAATTTAATACAGTTAGTCAAACTTCCTGAAATCAAAATTTTATGTCATTCTTCATTATCATCAAAATGAATTATTAAAAGATATAAAAACCAGTTAAATATTTTTTGTTTAATTTTTCAGTAACCATACTGTTCAGCTGCAATTTGATTTCACTGGCATACAAAGAAGTTCAATAAACACAAATTATGAGTAGTTTCAGTCAGTTAAACAAATTTTTTAGAAAAAAAAAGAACAATTTTATCACCCTTTGGTGAACATGTACTTGTAATAACACTCACTAAAAACTTATTGATGGATTCACAGTAACTAGCATATTATTAAATACACCTGTAAGAATATACAAGTTCAATGATACTTTTATCTACAGATCATATCTACCATTTCCTGAGTTGTTTTCAAAATTCTGCTGCTCTAGATAATACTGATTTTACTTGTGCAAATGAAACATTAATAACACAAAGCCTTTAACATTAGCATGAATAATATAATAAAAACACAGATTCTTAATTCTGTATTTTTCTTTTTCACCCATTTCTTGAGAGGATAAAACTATAGAAATGAAAAATTAATGATCATATAGTGAAAACCATTATTTTCAAACATTGATATTTCAAATCTAAACAATAAAATGAACAATCATTATTGTTATCTTGACAATTATATCCAGAACTGAGACACACATGCCAAGTGACAGACCTAAATGTCAGTAACAGCTTTAATTATATTTCAGTTCTTCCCACTATTAGTATTAAATCCAGCTCTGATAATAAGAAATACTTTAGTTTGTGGGAGGTTCCACATATATGCTGTTTTTTTTTCTAATGCTGCTGTAATTTCAAATCGAAACAGGTGTGCCTAAATGCAAATTACTACTCTGTGATTGCAGTAACCTGGTCTCAATTCTTTTTACCTTTGGTAGCCTAAGTATTCTCCATCCCAGTCATAAAATTGACTATTTAAGTTATTTCTAGATCCCTGCAATTGAAGGTTTGAACTTGAGCCCTGGGAATGTAAACTTCCACCTGAAGAGCTTTTTGAAATGGTGAGGGGGTTATAGTTCCTTGCTGATGATGTCTCAATGGACCATGATTTTCCTTGAGCTTCAGTAGCTATCTGTAAAGCATTAAATTAGACAAGGTAAAAGGATTTTCTAATTGAACTTTCATCAGTGCTTAATTTCTACAAAAAAAATAGTGTCAGTTTCCTTTTTGAAGATAATTTAAACATTACTATTATAGCTAGAGTTAGAAGGGGGTAATATAGTCGATTACATCAGTCAAACATCTATTTGCAGTGTAACTGAGGTAATCTTAAGATAAATTAGTGTTTCCACTTTTTGATTTGAAAATAAAAGCAAATCAGATTTTGGATCTCAGATTCTAAACAGTCCAAAACAAAGCTGTGTAGTTTAGTAGTCTTACTAAACCTGTTACAAACAATTAAAACTACAAAAGAACATTTCAGTGAACTACATCACTAAATATCCATTCACTCATGAGATTTTTTGTTATATATTTAATGATTTTATTGTTTCTGTCTGTGAGGTTCTTTCTTAGAAAACAATGCAGCACCTTTTGGAAACAAATTATAAACTTACCTCTAATATATTGGTAAAACCTGGTATCATATATTTACAAAAAATAGATTTTAAATCATAAATATAAATAGTTGTAATAATTTCTAGTATCATTCACTTTTATATAATTATATTGTGAAACTGAATTCCTTAAACTTTCTAACATTTACACTGGTATAAGATGTACTAGATTTTTTTCATCCAAGATATAAAAATGCCAAACTCATAATGAAGCACACAAGATATGTCCTTACCTTATCCCTATATAATGCTGCAGCTTTTGTGCTATATTTCTCTCTAATTGGCATACTAGAGTCCCAATCAGGTTGTTTTTCTAAAAATTCTTGGGCTTTCTTGTTTCCCCCTACCTTCATTTTTTCTAGTTCAATGTCTTTCCACTTGTCCATAGTTACTGACCTTACAAAACTAACACAAAACCATAAACATATAGTTTCAAACAGCTAGAAATCAGATTACGTTCAGTATAGAAAGTTCACATAAAACTATGATATTATTTTATCCACTTCCCTTTATGTTGAATTTTTTTATTTGGTGAAAAATTGTTAAATACTTTTAACCTAAATACCGTATGAATAACAATATTGTAACACGTGTTTATTTGACACTTTAACTTCTATAACTATAATATATAAACACGTACAAATAACATTTGAAGATACAAACACATACCTACTCACAAAATTACATCTTTTTCTCTACTTCTACCATTCAAAATATAATACAACTTTCATTTTGTACAATAGGTTTTTAACTCTGATGAATTTCATTGAACTTTTTAGATAAAATACCAAGTGTGCAATTTTCACAAACATTTGATACTTTTCTTTAACCAGCATAATACAAAAATGATGTAAAAATGTGAAATTTTTAAATAGTTTATTAACACTGCAATTATGGTATTTATTTTTAATCAAAATTGCATGTATCAGAAAACTAAACATATTATTCAACACTTAGCCATGTAATTAGCCAAAGTTTATTATGTATTACAGGCCCCTAAATATGTAAACATATAACCAACTTAATCTTATTTATATCGTACTAAATTAAAGCAAGTGCTTTCAACAATATTTAAAAAATAACAACAAATCTACAAATAATTCAAACTTACCTCAGATGAACACCTAATCCTCGATGTTTGCCTGAGCACTCCAAACAAATCCATATTCCGTAACTTACACTAACCCACTGGGGGTTATGAGTTCCACACTCAAAACAGTTCTATACAAAAAATAGTTCATTTGATACAATTACCACTTCTTCAATGCATTACTCAAATCATTCACATAGAAGAAACATCAATACATGTAAAAAGTCAGTCAAGTAATTACTGTAGTAGCAACGATTGATTTGGTCATCAAAAGCATCGACAATCAATACCAAGCAAGTTGTGATCAACTATGCATCAATAAGAAATAGTATTATAAAGTAGGTAACATATTATGGTAAAGAAATTCAGTATTCTTCATGAGACAAACATAGAATAAGAGCTGTAATTTAGAAATTCTATTAATGCAAATATACATATGCATCTATGACCCCAAAAATGCCATATGAAATTACACAAACAAAACTTTATCATATGTGTACATTAGATGCAAGTGTACAATACTCTGACTAAAGGAACATTTATCTATTATTGCTGGATTTGGATCTTTAAAAAAGTGACAATAACAACAGGCTCTAAGATACAAGATTCTAAAATTTCATTTAAAAAAAAATTGTTTTCATTGTCAACTGATGGTGTGCATAGAACCAGTCTAGCTTCTGACTCATATTCCCCTATAGCACATGTTTAATGCTTTTTGATTAACCATACGAATACCATGAGAGTAATTATACTACAATTTTTGATAATGCAAGCATATTTTTACAAAGTTTGCAGATTATTAGTAAACATTGCAAGCTTTCATACACAAAATATCAAGTTTTTAAATTAAGTATTAAGATTTCTTATTAAAATTTGCTCATGAATTTTTTCTTTCAGAATGTTGACTATCCAACTTGCAAAGTAATTTTGATTTTAGATTAAAAATACTTTTCTTTATCTGAAAATTGTTAAGTTTCATTTGTGTAATCTCTATATTCTTCTAATTAATCATTAAACTTTATATAATCTGTTATTTTACCAATGCTAACTCTATATGATGATGTTTGATTTGACTGACCTCATAACAATTATAAAAATTAGGAAATAAATCTAAGTTGCTTTATTTTGTTTTAGAACAGGTTTGGAACAGGAAACCACAAATGTATATTTTAAATAGCTTAAATCTCATAACAGTATACATCTATTTATACTTACTTTTTGTTTTATTGACCTATGAACTGCATCCAACTAAAAATACCCCAACATGTTGAAAATTACACGAAGCACATGCAGTTCACATTGCCGTATTGAATAGCACAACCTGCTGGCATGTATACCCCATGAAGATTATTATTTTTCTTTCATTATCTCACCTAATAAATTTCTATTTTTTACATTTTAGTTACTTTTATAATAATAAATAGTGAAAACAAATGAAAAATTATTGTTTATTTGTTGGAATTTCACACAAACCTACTCAAAGGCTATCTGTGCTAGCCATTCCCTAATTTAGCAGAGAAAGACTAGATGGAAGGCAGCTAGTCATCACCACCTACTGCCAACTCTTTGGCTACTCTTTTACCAATAAACAGTGGGATTGACTGTCACATTATAACACTCCCACAGCTGAAAGGGTGAGCATGTTTGGTGGGACAGGGGTTCAAACCCAAGATCCTCAGATTGAAAGTCAAGCACCCTAACTACCTAGCCATGCCAGGCCTAATGAAAAATTAAATATCAAACATTTTCATTTTCAGTAAAGCTTTATACTTTATGTTATTTTCTTTACTGTAACATTACACTTGATTCTCCTGGTTGTAGGTCAGTAATCAAAGTATAATGAAAATAAAGGTTGCAAATGCTAAATAAAATGTATTGTAATGTTAGTATTAATCACAAAATTTCAAATTTCTCACATTTTTACACTTATTTTTTACGGTTATTTTATTGCTAGCAGATGGCTTAGAAACTAGAAGAAATAAAGTGAAGAGTACTGTCCAGTACACAGAATGAAGTTCCAAAGTAAATCTCCTGAGAGTTTCTTCCAATCTTTTTACACCTATTTCCTATGTTTATTCTACTGTTAGTGGCTGAAGTAGAAACCTGCCAAATATAAAGCAATAAATCACCATTCATATTTAGGTGTTACCATAGTTTGACATATCAAATAAGCTTTTGCGGCACAATTCCCAGAACTATTCCTGCTTTGAAAACACTCAATTTTCCAAAATAAAGTCCTTTCACCTTATCTAATTAAAAAAATAAATTAAAAGTGCAAGTCATTTTAAGATGAAAGATATGATCATGCAATATCAGACTATAGTGCAGCAAATATCAGCATCACCAAACAATATGACACTAGATGCTTAGCATCAAAAGCTGCTGGGTTTTCTGTAGCACTCATATCAGCAATATCATGCAATATCAGCATCACCAAACAATATGACACTAGATGCTTAGCATCAAAAGCTGCTGGGTTTTCTGTAGCACTCATATCAGCAATATCAGCATCACCAAACAATATGACACTAGATGCTTAGCATCAAAAGCTGCTGGGTTTTCTGTAGCACTCATATCAGGGACCCCAACCTTTCGTTTGAACCCTCAAAAGTTTAAAATAAAGGATCCCTTAAACCCTCTGGCTCTGAAAACTGGAAGAAGTTCTACAGTCTGCATTATCCTTTAGTGAGTCAAAACTGAATGAAATAATCTTCTAAAATTAGGGCTGTAAATTTCAAATTTCTGTATCCTTCAGTTGGTTATAACCTGAATGAGAATTGCAACTTTTAATGTCATTCATTTGATAATACCATTCTCAAAGAAAAAGAATCAAATTTACAAATAAAACGTACTCTAACAACCCGGAGAACACATGCATTATAAACAAATTATTTCATTAGAACTTGAGACTGAGAATTTTAATTTCTAACTGTAGCATGCATTTCTCTCTAATTGCTCCACTTAAATTAAAATTATTTTTAAAAGTAGTAATCTTAAATAAACAGGGACCTACATTATTTCCATTTTTTGGCCTTAACTCTTGTAAAGTCCGACGTGTCCTTGGACTTGCCATGGTCTAAAATTATACCTTTCTTTGTGAACCCAAGTACAATTCAACCTATGAACAATAATTCAGGTTTTCAGAAGTATACAGTATAACAAATTTTAATACAGTTTTTAAACCATAGTAATAGTCATTTCACTATATTTTAATCTTAATATGGATATGCATTTCTAAACATTTCCTTTACAAGTAATAAAAATTCTTCTAAAAAGTGAAACAACTTTGTTTCTTGAAATATTTTAAATTGTCTGTGATTTGCACATGAAGATGGCTCCAGTTTATGCTGAAAGCTTGTGATAAAAATATGTATTGGAGAAAGAGGTTTTAAGTTACTTTTTGTAAAATGTGAATTATTCTAAGTTTTTAAATCATCTATTAGAAGTAAGTTGTTTTAGGATTTTGTTTAGTGATTGTATATTGTTTCAAAATTATGATGTAAAAGTCTATGTATAATAAGAACTCAAAATATAACCAAAATAATAAAGAAAATGAAGAAATAAAAGTAACCAAATTAAAGTAGACATTGTGTTGACCAACTAGACATGAATCGTGTGTGATATTCATTTTCTGTCATCATTATCAAAATTGATAATAGAATGGGAACATCTCTATAAAAAAATGAACAAAAAAAATGTAATGGTTTTCAAATGAGACCCAAAACTCGGGGGCTTTCAAATAGTTCACTATTCTTCTTCAGGAGAATAAAGAATATATTCTCCCAAAGAAGAATAGTGAACTATTTGAAAGAGCCTGAATTTTGGGTCCCGTTTGAAAACCATTATGACTTTTGCATGTGATCCTGTGTGCTAACTTCTTAATCAGAACAAAAAATGTATATGGTATAAAATATATACTTGGTGTGTGGTAAAAACTAAGGTACATCATTTAAAAAAATTATGTTATATTGTCCTATTTTCTTATTTATAATTTAAATTGGTAAAATGTTTAGCTCAAAATACAAAAGAATAGGATGCATCTTGAAACTGATACCAAAATATTTCTATTTAAGACTTGCAACAAGAAATTAAAAATAATAAATACTGTTATAAAGTACGAGTCTTACATCATTGGTAGTAAAAATTTTAAAAGTCTGATTTACAAAGTCATAAAGTAAAATTTAAAATTTAGTTGAATAGTCAGCATGGTTTCACTAGGGTAAAATCTTGTCTTTTTGATTTTTTGACATTCTTTGTAGAGGTTACTGCTTATGTAGATGAGGGTACATGTGTGAATTTGTGGTATCTGGATATTCAAAAAGCATCTAACAAGGTGCCACATAAAAGGCTTTTTAAAAACAATTTGTGTAAGTGTGGCAGATAGGTTGGCTCATTGGATAGAAAACTGGCTGTGGAATACCTCAGGGCTCAATGCTGAGATGTTTGCTCTTTTTGATTTACATCAGCAACATAGTCAAAGGAATGGTCAATAAATTATTTAAAGTTGTTGATGGTGTTTTTGGTGATGCTGCTGTGAGAAGGATGTTGCTGCTTTATAAAAGGATTTGGATTATTTGGTAACTGGGCAAATGGTTTTTAACTATAATAAATGCAAAGTAATGTATGTGGGATATCATTATTTCATACATGAGTATAATTTTGATGGGAATAATCTTAAAAGTGTTATGGCAATAAAGAAGAAAAGGATCTTGGTGTTCCCTATCAGTCTCTTAAACCATCCATGCAATGTGCTGTTGCTAGTTGCAGGGCAAATAGGATTTTAGGTATCTATAGAAATATTGAATATAACTCTAAAGATGTTGTAATTTCATTGTATAGGTCATTGGTTAAGCCACAATTGGAGTATTGTGTCCAGTCATGGGTACCTAACCATAGAAAAGATGCTGAATTGTTGGAAACAGTTCAGATGAGGACCACTAAGATGATACCTGAGATGGAAAGGTTGTCAAATAAAGACAGATTAATATCTGTAGTTTGCCCCCGACGAATAAAGGTCTTTTCAAAAGCACTAGTTACTGGGTATCGAATTTTTGTGTTAAACTGATTTCTTGAACCTACATGTTTTCCTAACACCATGAAGGTTAAGATATTTGAAACTGTTTTCTATGGAAAAAAGAAGAGTTAAAAGATATGTAATTGAGGTTTGTTAAAGGAATTAATAGTGATGATTCATCATCTTTTTTCATACTTAATGGTGAGAGTGGTAGATCTAATAAGGGATACACAAAACTTCTAGCAAAATAGGAATCATCTTCAACTAAAAGTGCTTTATTTCTCTAACAGGGTGATTGGTCTTTGGAACATGTTGCCTTCAGATGTGGAGAATGCAGTTAATTTAGGAGTTAAGGGAAAGTTGATAAATATTTGAATGTTAAGGGTTGTCCTTAAATTATACATATATATATATATGTATTAATACAAGACCAATCATGCCTTAAAGATTACCCACCAAAATAAGCACAGTTTTGTTTTTGGTATAATGTCTTACATTATTTATCTTTATTTTGTATTTTGGATGGTAATATATAATTTTTGATTATATTACAATTTGAGGAAAAACACATGTTAAATATGTCAAAACATGTTTCAATATCATGCAAGGTAATCTACTTGGGGGTAATATAAATTTTAAAACAGTTTGCTACTTATATTAAAGGGATGTTAATGCTACTGAAGGAAAACAAAGGAATAAGTTGAGAAGGTTGAAAGAAAAACTAAACACTTGCAGTTATGTGTTGAAACATAGTGGACAAGAGCTTCCAACATCATATAATTTATTTATAATTCTCTTATATTTTAAGCCTAGCAAAGAGCATTTTGTAACTGAAATAATACACAAATGCAACTATGGCATAATAAAATGTCAGAATAAATGTTTAAGTCAATGCAAAATATATATGGTACTGTGGTCAATGTTTAGCTGAAATGCTAATAAAAAAATTTTTTCTATTTATTTGCATTTCTATGTAATATACTTTTCCAAGACACTGATTGGGTCTCATTTGGGTGCATTATTATTCCAGTTACTACATAAAAAAAATGTGCAAACTGCAATTACGGGCTATTACACTGGTGTCTGGTAAAAAAAAAAAAGTGTAGAAAGTCATTAAAGATTTGGATTTATTTTTCCAGTGGCATAAACAAATGAGATGCAACTTAATTCAGAAGTTTAAAATTATTGAAGAATAGAAATTTGAATAACTATCTTTTTACTAAGAATATTATAATCTTGAATGCATCAGTTTTACACCTAACAGTGGCTGGTAGAAACAATTACATGACTCATTCTTGAATCACTTTTACCTACCAAGTCTGAATTTTTCTTTGAACATCTTTTTGGTTAATTTGATTTCTTTCATGATCAGTTGGTGGTTAACCTTGTTAACTTAAATGGCCCTTTCTAATGCTCTTATAATTTTCTGTTCCTTAAGTTTCACATATTTTTGATGCTATATGTAATTGTAACCACTTAAACCAGCAATTATAACACAGGCCTGCAAATTTAAACTTCATAAAAGTTCTTTTGGTTTTAATAACAGAATTTTCATAATTCAGCTACACAGATTTTAAAAATAATATTCACTTTTTTCTATCATGTAAGGAATTTTTTTTTACAAATCTGGAAGAAAAACTCTTACTTGTATTAAATCATTATTTTGTTTACCACAATGAACATTTTTTTATTATATGTTTGTTAAGAAAAATACAAAGAAACTGAAGAAATAGGTAGAACACTAGTGTCAAACGAATATGCATCCTCATTCATTCTGATTTTTTTTGTGTGAAATCTAAGTCTTTTAGTCTCAAAACTATGTGTTGTGGTTCTTCTTTTATTGTTTGTGTATTGTGCTATGACGTTTTGTGAAAATTTTGTATGTTATGAAGAAAAATGGATATCATTTTCGGATTTACCATACAGGAATTACCATAGAAAACATAAAAATGTCAAGACAACAAAATTAAAACCATCACAGGCCAGTGTATTTCATAAACCGTGTGAACATGTCATACACTTTTGCAATGAGTAAAATGACCGAACGTTAAAATTTCTATTATTAATTAGAACTTTAAATAACCACTGTGTAGAGATGCACGTGACAATGAAAAGAATCATTAACTTGATTAAGTCTGTGTTACTGAACTTACTTACTGCTATAGCCTACAGTGCAAAGGACCTAACCACACCAAAGCAGTACTAGCACTACAGTAATCAACCTTGACTTTAGTATAGCGACACCATTTCTGATTAGAACACATCAATAACCATACAAAGTAAAAGGGAAAATATTTTTAAAAACTTATTTTTCAAATAAATTATACCATCTTACCAAACCTAAATACGTTAAACCACTGGAACACTATTCTTTCCCTACTTTCACACTTGATTCAATACACGTAAGAAATACTCTCAGTGTCATAGCGTATCCTCTATCGGCCACCATTCAAATTAATAAAGAAAAATTAAACTAGGGTAATGATAAATTTAAACAAAATTTACATCTTATATTTATAATGCTCCGCAAGTACTACCATCATAAGTTTTAAGTTAAAATGCTTATGGAATTTATACAACCAATGGTTATTATAAACAAAGGATTTCGATTTTCAAAAAGATAATCGTTTAAAAACTGGTTTGTCACTTAGGGCAAGATATTTGATAAAAAGAAATGTTCAGATTAAAAAAGCTACATAATGGGCTCTTTGTGCTGTGCCCACCACGAGTGTCAAAACCCAGTTTTTAGCGTTATAAGCTTTCAGACTTTCGGGTGTGCCACTAGTGGACTTCAGATTAAGAAATGGTGAAAATCATCTGTTATATGTAACGGTTTTTTACTTTTATTGCAACAACACAATTTCACCACATCCTAACAAAATACCATTGAAGTTAAAGGAACACAATCTGAAAAATTCATATTACTAACACGGATGAAAAAAATGCATTTCGTTTCATAAAGTGTATACAAAACTTGAGCAGCTGACCACTTACTCAATGCACGGGGAAGACATGGGGACCCCAGAGTAACATAGAAGAGTCAGATTCAAATGCCAACCCCATATGTCATTCTCCATGTGACGTAATGGTATGCGTGAGTCTTCAGGGGTGACAGGGAATTAGGTCCGAATTCAGACCTTTTGTTACTTACTGCAGAGTCCTAATAGTACATATAAGGTTCGGTGACGATAGATCAAACAGTCTGCCAGTTATAAGCAGACACACACACAGATGTTTGTGAAATAATGGCTTATATTATGATATGCAGGCATATCATATTGTTACGTCTCCGTTTGTTAATTGATTTCCCATAAATTCGTTCCGACGAAACTTTAGCGACACAAGTCCTTACTTAATAAAACTGGTTTATTCTTTCCGAATATAACTTTACGATACACTTATTTTCAACAATCACGCTAAAACAAACGCTATAACAACGAACGTGCTCAACTTCAATAATACTCTCTGATTGCAGTTCAATTAATCACTACCTACACACATTATTGTCACGTTACGCCGTGACCATCTTATATATACCAGACTACCCTATATCTAGTAAATGCTAGGGCATTCAC